TCTACTGCCTCGTGATGTGCGGCAATGGCGGCAACATACACTTTGAGGGTGGAGGGAGACAGCCTTCGCTCCAACCCATCCTGCAGGAAAGAAAGCACGACTCCGATCGGGCATCTACGGGGGTCTTCCCGGCAGGAAGAGCACCAATCGACAAACAGGTTCCACTTCAGCCTGTAAGCGTGTCTGGTAGACGGGGCTCTAGCTGACGTGATGGTGTTTACTACCGCTGGAGGTAGCCCACCTAGAAACTCCGCGTCCCGTCCAGGGACCACAAGTGGAGATTCCACAAGTCTGGATGCGGGTGTCAGAGGGTGCACCCTCTCTGAGAAAGGAGATCCCTCCTCAGAGGAATTTGCCAAGGAGGGGCTGTCGCAAGGAGCATTAGTTCGGGGAATCAAGTCCGACTGGGCCAGTATGGTGCTACCAAGAGGACCTGCTCCTCGTCCTCCCTGACCTTGCACAGCATCTGTGCGAGAAGGCTCACTGGGGGAAACGCGTATTTGCGTAGGTCCCGAGGCCAGCTGCACGCCAGTGCGTCCGTGCAGAGGGTCCCCTCGGCCAGGGAATAAAACAACTGGCAATGGGATGTGTCTGGGGAAGCAAACAGGTCTACCTGAGCATCCCCAAAGCATCTCCAAATCAGCTGGACTGTTTTGGGGTGGAGTCGCCATTCTCCCGGAAGGGCGGGCTGACATGAGAGCTCGTCGGCTGCATGATTGAGCTCGCCTGGGACATGAGCCCGTCGCTCGTGAAGCTCTTTTAGAATTTGCTCTTTTTGAAAGGAAAATACTCTTTTAGAGAGAGCACTGAAGCGCCCAGGGGAGGTCGCGGCGAGACCGCAGAATGGAAGCTGCAGCACGCGAGGTTCTAGCAGCACTGGATGGCAACCCCCGCTGACACGCCGTGACACCAACACCAGCTGTTTTCTGCAAACACTCGCGGAGATTCGTCTTAAAAAGGCTCAGCTCCGAAGCGAAAAGCTGATGTGCGTTTGCACACGCTCTCCTTTTATACCCGCGCTGCGGGGCGGGGTGCGCGTGGCGAAACACGCATGCCAGCTGTCATTGGCTTGTTTAGTTAACATTCGAAGGTGATTGGGCTCTCGTGCAAGATCCCAATTCGTCAGTCACGACTGACGTAACGTCGAACGTGACTGACTGAAAGGGAACCCTCATTTATTTCTTCTGAAACTCCAAAGAATTATTTGAAAATGTTTCAACTGTTTTTGTCCATACAATCCAAGTCAGCATGACTGATCTGAGGAATGCAAGTCAGCAAAAACAGCATGACTGATCTGTGGGAGACATCAAAATATATTCCACAGACATAAGACATGTTATCAATAAGTAAATGATAACAAAAACATTTTTATTATCATTTTTATTAAATGATAATAAAAAATCCTTTTAACCACAAACACTGAGGTCTAGCATTTGCTGGCAAGATAAAGATTATGTACATGTGTGTTTGCAGTCAGTAGAAGTGCTCATCTTGAGACACACCGGTAAAGCTTTATTCTAGAACAAAGATGTTAGATAAAGCAACAAAACACATTCTGAATGTAGGTCTGTGGGTTTTTGCATGTATGAAATAAATAGCTGCAGCTGTTTTACCAGCAGTTAAGTTCTAAAGTATTATACATGTGAAAAAATGAGACAGGTGGAGACAACGAGACAGGAAAAGACTCTGTCTCAGCAGACTGAAAGTCACTGATCCTTTACGCTCTAAAAAATGCTGGGTTAAATATAACCCAGCGCTGGGTTAAAAAGGTACAAACCCAGCTATGGGGTTGTTTTGACCCAGTGGTTGGGTTGTTTTGAACCCAACCACTGGGTCAAAACAACCCCATAGCTGGGTTTGTCCCTTTTTAACCCAGCGTTGGGTTATATTTAACCCAGCATTTTTTGAGTGTACATGCAATTCACCTAATGAAAGCGAAATCCACCCATCCCACACATGATGCAGCACACAGGGCAAGTGCCTCAGGGAGGAACATTCGGTTACTGTGTTGGAAAGTGGAGCTGATTCAAAACAGCAGGGAAAACAACTACAGGGAGGGACTTTAAGAGACACCCACACAGAGCTCTAACACTTTACTGAGGGGATTTCAACAGGTGGGTGTTGATGGTATAAACAGACATTCTTGTTTCCAATGATTGCAGACTTTGTTACCATGAAGTGCTAGTTCAAATGTAAAAAATGCTTCAACAAAAAAAGTTTCATCTGAAGATATAGTCTTGTTTAGGGATCTGTGTCTTTGTGCATACGGACATCTGACTGCTGAGTAGTGATTGTTTTTTTCAGCAATAGTGTGCACCCTTAATTTACAGAGAAAGGAAGGTAAGGGAAAAATCTGTAGATGGAAAAATCTCCAACGAAAAAACAAAGTTCTTTGTGCATTTTTCTTTTTTTTTGTACTTGTTACTTTGCACTTTTTATTAGAAAATGTTTATTTACTATTTATTCAAGTTTTTTAAGGTATCTAATATTTTGATACTTAATTTCCATGATCAAAATATTCTTAAAAATTAAAAGTTTGTTGTCATTTGGAAGTGTGTAGGCCAGGGGTGTCCAAACTCGGTCCTGGAGGGCCGGTGTCCTGCAGAGTTTAGCTCCAACTTGCCTCAACACACCTGACTGGAAGTTTCTATGGCTTTGTCCAAATACCCACACTTGCAGTCTTTGCACTTGACCACTTGATTACTTAAATTACGTATTTCCTGTTCTGGGGCAATATATCGCACAACAAAAAGTTGTTATCGTGACAGACCTAGTCAGCGTTAAATACAGGTGTAAGCAAAACATCTTAAGATCCAATCACCCAAAGCAGGGCTGTCCAAACTTGGTCCTGGAGGGCTGGTGTTGGAGGCAAGTTGGAGCTAAACTCTGCAGGACACCGGCCCTCCAGGACCGAGTTTGGACAGCCCTGACCCAAAGTATAATAGTTTAAATATATATTAAATACAATTAGTTAAACTTTGAGTGCTTTGGTGAGTAAAATTTGAGTTTCATTTTTGGGTGAACTATTGCTTAAGTACGACTTAAGTACATCGTTATTTAAAATATACTTTAAAGTAAACTTTTTAATTCAACATTATTATAAAGTGCACTTTTTAAAAGTGTACTTAAGTGTGTTAAGAAACAGTCATGAAAGTGTACTCCATACAAGTATACTTAAGTGGCCTTTGATTTAATTAATATTACTTTATCTGCAAGTACAGTGTCAATCAACTAGCCTACTTAAAATATTAAAATAACAGTCAGAATAATCTTTCATCGTTTACACATCGTTGTGTATCCTTCTGTTCACTTTCATGTTACTGAAGCGTCCAAAGAAGAAAGAAAGTCATGTGGATTTCGAAAGACATGACATGAGCAGGAATAAATGATGACTTTTTCATTTTTTTTCCTGCTTTATCAGCATTCAGTAACACATTGACATCAAAAGTGACGTATGCAGTCATGAAATCAGAGACATCCCATTGAATCTGAACAGAAAAGGTCACACAAGATGCATGAAATGTCATTTACTTGGTTCCACACACACTTCCTTGTAGTCCAGACAGCAGGTGCCTTCATTTACACACGCAGTGTCACAGTGGCACACTGCATTAGAGTCGCGACTTTTGGACAAGCAGCGATTTCTACAGCTCTCAGTAACTAGAAAACACACAAAATAAAGAGCACGTAGACAGAATGATATCTCAAATGTAATGTGGATATAATGACACAGGACTTCATTCCCAAACTCAATGACATCAATCATTACACAATGGATTAAAGGGTGATAATAGATACTGTATATGAAATATATGTACCATTATATGAAAAAGATTATAAAGGGTGGGCTTTAAAACCACAACCAGAATAAAAAAACAGAAAAGTGAGATACCTTTATCACTGCAATGGAGTTTGAGTATAAATATGATTGTGAGAATTAAAGCCAGCAAGCCAAGCAAAAGGACCTATAGAGAGAAAAACAAAAAGAAAAAAAAACAAGGTCAAAAATGTTTGTTATACAAGATTCAGTACAGATGGAATCATTTGCATTACAGTATTTTGCTTCGATTTTATTTGAAAAATGTAATAAAAGTTTATTTGACATAAATGTTGCTAAATACATCCTGCTTGGAAAACATATCAGCAGAAATCAGCCTTGTAAGCCTATAGAGGCATTTCACTACTAACAGCACGGTCAAAAGTTCACACGTATTGTGGACACATACTGTACACTACAGTTCAAAAGTTTGAAATCTCTAATGCTCACCAAGACTGTATTTATTTTACTAATACCGCACAGTACAAATTGTGAAATATTATTACAATTCAAAACAAACTTTTTCTATTTGAATATATATTAAAATTTAATTTATTCCTGTGATGCAAAGCTGAATTTTCAGCATCATTACTCCAGTATTCAGTATCACATGATCCTTCAGAAATAATTCTGATATGCTGACTTGCTGCTCAAGAAACATTTCTTATTATTAATATTGAAAACAGTTGCTTAATAATTTTGGAAACCATGATTTTAAATATATATATATATATATATATATATATATAGGATGAGGATGAATGGAAAGTTCAAAAGAACAGCATTTATTTGAAACATAAATATTCTGTAACATTTTAAGTCTTTACTGTCACTTGTGATCGATTTAATGTGTCTTGACTCCTAGTTGAATAAAGGTGTGGAGTGTGATTCACTAAACTTGCACACACTTTTCATTCCCTCCAAGCTTTAAAGTGAATTGTTCAGTTTAAATAAAGGGTTGCTGAAATATGAGATGAGAAGTTTGGGAAACATTAGACAATATGCAGCTTTGCTGAATTTAGCATGTCATACTAAATCAAAATCGGGCCTTTTCTTTTAGCATTTTGAAATCAGTTTTCTTCCTAGATGATTCTTCTAACTAATGATTAATACAGCAATGCATAACAAGCCATCAGCCTGCTGGTGACCGCAGCTGTTTGCTTAAAGTGATAGTTCCCCCAAAAATCTGTCATCATTTTCTCACCCTCAAGTTGTTGAACGCAAATGTAGATATTGTGAAAAATGTGGGTAACCAAACAGCTTCTGGTCCCCATTGGCTTTTTGTGTTCAGAAGAAGAAAGAAACTCACACGGGTTTGCATTAACTTGTGGGTGAGTAAATGATGACAGGATTTTCATTATTGGGTGAACTATCCCTTTAAATGGGGTGAAGGAGGCATTTGAGTCAATATACTAGCATAGTTAAAAAAAAATTATAAATAAAGGTATCAAGATAAAATATTGCACACACATTTGCACCTATGTCTATGAAATAACAAAACTATGAATTGTTGTTCTTGACCAGCTTAATTCAAACACTGTAACGCTACATTCCACAATGAGGTACTTTATGCTGGCTCCTAGAGGGTTACACTTTACTTGAAGGGGTGTGCATAAGACTGACATGACACCTACACAATCATGACATGACACATGTCATGAATATGAAGGGTTTTTTATGCATGTTTATGACAACTGTCATAAAGTGTCATTCGCTCAGTTATGTAATTTTTAATGCAAAGATGACATTGTCTGAGATGTATTTGTTATGGGCTATGGTTAGGTTAAACACACACTCACTTCACACACATCCTCACATACACTCACTCTCT